CCGTCAAACAAATCGGCCGAACATTCAGACTCAGTCAGTTGAAGAATATTACCGACTTTCAGTGTATATTCCTTTTCTAGATTATATGTTAAATGAAATGAAATCCAGGTTCCCTACCGCTCCAATGCAAAGAATCGGACAATTGCAAAAGTTGCTGTCCCCTAACTTCAGCGACAAAGATGTAGAGGATGTTTTGCAAGGCGCTGAAATATATAAAGAAGACCTTCCTTGTTTTTTAGCTTTGAAGGGAGAGCTAAATATTTGGCAACAGATGAGAGAAAATATCCCAGTATCTCCAGCAGATGCCTACAAAAGAGCAAAGGTGCTGCCAAATATTAGAACTCTGTGTCAATTCTAGAGACTCCAAGAAAGGTACTCAAGCTGTTCCAAGAGTCATCAAAGAAAGAGGTCGGTTGAAAAGTATAGAGGACGCTACTCCAAAAATATTCAATAAAGCCAAGCTCCACAAACCACAAGAACAAGAGATCAGTGTAGCGAAACCGAGATTGCGCTCAAATAATTGATTTTTGTACTCTTTCCAATCATCGTACTCATCACTCATTCGTTTTGTCGCATTTCTAGTGTTCTTATCACATCATAAATCAGAAAATGGATGCATATATTCGAGATGTTAATTATGTACCTATGAATACATTAGAATTCTCTGAAACTAAAGATCTGAACAATTACTGGAATAGGAAAGAACGAAATAATTATTTCAAAATTTTCCATCAAAATATTCGCAGTTTAAATAAGAATTTCGATGAGTTGAAAATTTTTCAGAACACATTGAATCTCGAATTCGACTGTATTGTTTTAACAGAAGCTTTCAGAATACCTGATACTGGTATATTTCATCTAGATAATTATATCATGTTGTATAGTGATGGTGATTTGAACAGAAATGATGGGGTGGTAATCTATATAAAAAAACAATTCCAAGTCGCGCACGAAACAATATCTATTGGCTATTGTAAAGCATTACAAGTCGAAATAAGGTTGAGTAATAAAAAGAAAATTATTATAACTGCATTATATAGGTCTCCGTCAGCAGACGCCCAAGAATTTATTGACAGCATGCAAAATTACCTGGAAAAAACAAAACATATTAATACTGACATTCATCTTCTCATAGGCGATATAAACATCAATATTCTGGAAGAAACAGAAATAAGTTCATATTACTTAGATACCTTAAATGAATATAATTTTGTCTCTATGATAAACAAGCCGACTCGTGTCCAAGGTAACACTGAAACGTGTGTGGATCATATTTTCATGAAAGCAAAACTGAATAACATTCAAGAACAATGCATTGCGATAATCCATGAAAATTTCATAACCGATCATAAAGCGACACTCTTAGGTATTCACAATAAAAATAACAATCCAGATATTATGAATAAAAAAAAACAAGTTGCTTATATAGATTATCCTAACTTGAAAAAAGATCTAACGAATCTTGATTGGAATAACTATTACAACCTAGAAGATGTTAACGAATTAACGGAAACGTTATTAAATCATCTAAATTTATCAATTAATAAAAATAAAATGATAAAAAATATAAACAAAACTGATATCAAACGAAAAGAATGGATTACTAAGGGTTTAGTTAAATCTACAGTTCAAAAAAAAAAACTATATCGTGAATATAAACTTCATCAACAATCCCTAGCAAAAAAAGAAGCATATTTGAGTTATAAGAGGAATCTTGAAAAATTAATCAAAAAAGCCAAATATTGTTACTTCAAAAGACAAATAGATCAAAACAGTAACAAACCGAAAAATTTATGGAAAATAATAAAGGATCGTTCAAACAACAATTCTGACAACAAAATAAATCTCATCCTAGACGACAAAAATGAGGTACTGAAAACCGAAGATGCAATAGCTAATTACTTCAACGAATTTTTCGTAAACATTGGAAAATCTTATGCAGAAAAAATCAAGAAGCCTAGTGATTCACCTCCTCCACCGAAAATAAACCCGAATACCCTTTTTCTAGCGCCTGTTACTGTGAATGAAATAATCAATATCATCAAGAATCTGAAAACGAATAAAGCTGTCGGAGCAGACGGTATCAAATCGGATACTTTAAAACAGATTGGCAATGAAATTGCGCAACCTGTAACACACTTAATAAACAAAATTTTCGAAACGAGCATTGTCCCTTCAGAATTCAAAACAGCCATAGTAACCCCAATATACAAAAAAGGCGACAAAGAGAATGCCTCGAACTACAGACCAATATCAGTTATATCGGCGTTAACAAATATATTTGAGAAATCTCTAAAATCAAGAATCATCACATTTTTACAACACAACAACATACTATCGAATAAACAATATGGTTTTCGAGAAGGACTATCTACAGTGGACGCTATCGGGAATCTAATTAGTGAAGTTACGCAGTCGTTAAATAAAAGCAAACCTACCTTATGTGTGTTTTTGGATCTTGCTAAGGCATTCGACACTGTGTGTCACAAGCAGTTGTTAGATGCCCTAGATGAAGCTGGAATTCGGGGATCTCCCAATAAACTTTTCTCGAACTATTTGATGAATCGAAAGCAAAGAGTTAAAATTGGAAGTATACTTAGTGAAGAGAAGGAGATTAATTATGGAGTTCCCCAAGGTACAGTTCTGGGACCTATTCTTTTTATTATTTACCTAAATAGTATACTCAATTATCCAAGTAACGGCAAAATTGTAAGCTTCGCCGACGATACGGCTATTGTATATTGTGCTGATAATTGGAAAGACTTGAAACACAAAACAGAAAATGATTTGATGAATATTTTCAATTTATTCAGTCACAAGATATTGACCGTAAACACAGAGAAGACATATTTCATTCCATTCTCGCACACCGTTAGTACATTACCAGAATTTGAAACATTAAAAGTTAATGACCAAATAATACATGCTAAGAAACATATAAAGTACTTAGGGATTTATATAGATTGCCATCTCAGATTTGACGGGCACATTGAAAGTCTTGTGAAAACATTGAGAACATTACTGTATAAATTCAGATATCTTAAAAATATAATTGATATGTGTTACCTCAAAATAATTTACTATGCTCTCGTTGAATCCCGCATAAGATATGCCATCCTCAATTGGGGAGGAGCTGCCACGTGTTACCTGAAAAAACTTGATATCTTGCATAAAAGATTTTTAAAAATAATATTGAATAAAGAACTTACTTATCCAACAAATCTCCTCTTCTATGAGGCTGGCATTCTTGATGTCAGGCAGCTATTTATGCACCAAATAATATTGTACATATTTAAAAATCGAAATACACTTGAATTTGTGAATCATGGGTACGAAACACGATATAGAGAAAGCAAGAATGTTCAGTCTCGGTTATTTATCAAAAATGTTTGCCTCAGAAGTTATAAACATTTGATGTATGAAATTTTCAATAGTCTCCCTGAACAATATAAAATGTACATTTTAACAATAAACTCAACTCCACTGATAAAAAAAAGATTCAAATATTATATCGTGAATTTAGGAAGAGAAAAAGTTCATTCACTTGTTGTAATCTGATTGTCTGTTTTATACTTTATATTGCTCACCCTGTTCCATGTGTTTTTTACTTTTAATCATACAAGATTATCTGTTTTGATTTATTCAAGAAACATTGTATATGTTATCACCAAAATTACTCAATTAAAAAGACAATAATAATAATAAAAAAAACATATGACATAACTTGTTCACGCACAGCCTCCTTTTGGCTTCAGTGGACAATATACTCCGTGTTCTAACTGTTTATTCGGACTATTCCACATGAAACCCTATAAATTTTGTATTTTTTTTGAGTGAATATTTATCATGAGATAATTCTGTTAAATGTACTAGTTATAAGATCCTGAATAAACGATATTATTATTATTATTATTATTGCTATGCACGTTTCCAGTGACTACTAGCACTGCCGAGCAATCGTTCTTCACCTTACGCCGATTGAAGTCATACCTTCGCAACAGGATGACAGAAGAGCGTTTGAATGAATTGGCTTTAATGTATATCCATCAAGACGTTGCGGCAAAAATGGACGCTAATGAAGTGCTGGACATCTTCAGCAGGAAGCATAAAAGAAAATTGTCTTTATTAAACATTTAATTTTTTGGATACTTTCATGAACCTTCATATATATACTTGAACTTGTAGAAATAAACTTGAAGTTATTGTTGATTTTTTGCCCGTCTGCCCCTTGTGCCCCTCCCAGAAAAAAATCCTGGATCCGCCCTTGATGTTAACTATTGTCAATATATATACGTATACCTTCATGAGTAACATCGATCTCAAATATATTATATATATTATATATTAATATTTCAGTGCATCATTTTTTACGTATTCATTTAAAAATATTTATTTGTTTCGTTGTATGTTTTGAAATGATTCTATTAGTATATTTTTTTCATGTACAACTATCTGAATATTGCCTCACAATGAAACGAATAATTGCTTTCCGCATGAAGAAAATATAATCTAAATTGTAAGTAAAATTTTACACGACATGATGAGATTTTTGAAACATTCAAAATACTCACAAGTTTTTCGTAACAGAATAGGTGAATACAATTAATAAATACCATCATCACCAGATGAATCGAAATATATTGCATGTATTTTAATTTTATAGAAATATATTCGAAGTTTTATCAAATCTATTTGATTAAAAAACTCCTTCACAATGAAAAACTTCACTCAACCTGCGGAGGAGATTTGCGTATTTATTTTAATATTCTCAAAGCTGGAGCGTTCGATCTCAAAACTTACTGGTCAGAAGCTCAAGTTGAAAATGCCATGAGGTTTATGCATAGGTGCAATGACTACAAAGTGTTTCAATTATTGGTGAGTATCACTATGGAGTTCTTTTACCGTTCATCTTCGAGAAGAAAGAACTTATTATTATAATTGATAAAATGGTAACAATTTGAATATAATTACTACCAACGGCAAATAGCTCAAAAATATACCTTCAGCCATGGGCATTCCTCGACAGCAGAATAATACACATTGCGGCAGAGTTCAGGAGAAAAGTATGTGTAGACAAATTGTAGGTATAATCTCCAAACTAATCCACATTTTCTGGTAGTAACGCCCGAGGTGACTTTCTTGAACAATGACAACATTTTATTCTTCAGACTTGAATTGATATCATATTTGTCACCTGAAAAAAAATCTATTAAAAAAAACTGCTCGTATTATGTTTCTTCACTGCAGGAATTATTGAAGAAAGTTTGAAAAGAAGTACCTACCTACCTACCTCTCTTATAGAGCGTACGTGTCTCACTTTCAACGCTCCCCCCCCTTCCCTCCCCTATATATCAGCTATTAGTAGTTCGATTCTTAACGAATTTAGACTGATGTGAATAACCATATCAATATACAGTTTTGCAGAGACTATCATTGTTATATGTGTATTCAGATCATTCTATACAGGGTGTGCCGTAATTAAATAGAAATATTTTGAACAAAAATACTGAATTCATATAATCATGAGCCCAGAAATGCTCCCCTGAGGAGTTATAGCCATCTAAAAGAGAGTTGCTGGTTTTTAGTAAATATTCCCAAAACCCTCTGTGGCTCTATTTCTTTCCAAGCCCGATTTTTAAATGTTGAGAATTTTCCGAAATTTTTATCAGGGGCGTGGGAGATAGGTGAGGCTAAGGGCATTTCTTTCCCCAACTTTATTTTCAATGCAATTTTCGGCAGTTTGATCAGGAAATATGAAAATATCATAATTTTCACTTGAAAATAATACCCCTGTTCAGTTTCGATAGCACTCACTATTTTCGAGATAAATCGATTTTGAGAGTCTGCTGCGTAACAAAAATAGTGCTTTTTTCTTCCCTGGCTAGGAAATTTTCCCAGAAATTATTTTTCGATAAAAAATACCCTTTTTCTGACCACTAAGGGGTGCGAAGCCTCAACTCGACGGGTTAATCTCGCGGGGACTGCCAAGGGAGGTACAATTGTTGATATTTCAGGAGAGCATCGTCCATGAAAATATCTATAATATAGAGCCAGATCGCCAACTTTTCTACGGTGTTCCAGAGAGACGAATTGCCCTTTTTTGGACAGATTCCAACAGTTTCAGGGTATGTTTGGGTGCTGCACTCCGAATATGGGAACAGAATTCCGGGACAGGTCGTATCTGTGCCTTATAGATCATGAGCAGCTGACTGGAAGTGAAATAGCTCCTGGCCCGAAACAGAAAACCAAGTTTTTGGGATGCACTTTTAGCAATAGATCTCACGTGATTTTCCCAAGAAAGGTTATTGCTGATAGTAATACCAAGCATCGAAATGGATGTCTTCAAAGTTATGGTTAGTCCTGACATGCTATGTTTGGCACAGTGAGATCGGCTTTTCTAGAGAAAAGGCATGCTTGTGGTTTGTTTGCATTGAAATCAACCAAGTTATTGGATCCCCATTCAGGAATTGTTGCCAAGTCCATATTTATGTTGTCAACATTTCTCCCTCGTTCGTTTCTGATTTGCCTGGCTGGTATTGGAGCCCTGGAAAAGAAGGCGGTATGGAGGGTACTATCATCCGCGAAGCTGTGTACTGGATATGAAGTTGTTCCCAATAAATCGTTGATATGGAGAAGAAATAGTGTTGGTGCTAGAATTGATCCTTGCGGAACACCAGCTTTTATGGTAAGAGAGTCAGATGAAACTCCATCGAATACTACATGGAGAGACCTGTTTGAGAGGAAACTAGCTAGCAGAGAACATAGCTGGGGAGGCAAGCCATAAGATGAAAGCTTGGCGAGGAGACCCAATAAAATCTTCCTTATAGAGTACGTTGGCGAAAGGTGATCTCGGGCATATGACTGTCAATTGGCGTTATGTTTGGAGGTTGTTTTTCCGATGTATCCAGAGTGGAATTTCCTGCAAATAAATGCGCAAGAATGTTGGCTTTCTCCTGGGCAGTTGTGGCTAGTGTTCCATCTTCCTTGGTTAGAGGAGGAAACGAGCTGGAAGTGAAGTTTCTTCCTACAGCTTTGGCGAAGGACCAAAATGAACAGGATCCGTTAGGACATTCAACAAGTTTTGATCTTATTTTGGCATAATGAGCATCCTTTGATGATCGAATTGTTGGAATCTTTCTATGTAATTTCGGGACACCCTGTATATTATAATTAGAACCTTGTAACCAACGGGATGAAATAAAGATCAGAGTCATTCTGATATTCAAGATATAAACTGTATTTCATTGTCACTTAATTCATTAAATGAATATATACTATGGCGCAGTCACCAGTGCAAGAACATTAGATTTCATCCTATTCGGAAATATAAGCAATTATATTTTTTTATTCCTTAAATAGAATCATCTCTCAAATACATTTTAATTTCATATTTTTTGAGAATTTTTTATTCGATTTTTAGATGCCAAAATCATAAATAATGCAATGGTAATTTTCAAACGGCTAGAAATCTACCGCCAGTAAAAACTGACGCCACGATTAGCACAGTTGCCATTTGTTGAAATACGCTTGGGAATTCCAGAAATATTAGTTATTCGATAATTATTCATGAATTCTCAATTGAGTATTGGTAATACTCATAATTAGCAATAAAAATTTAATTGTCCCAAAATGTCCCCTTATTCACACTAGAGGTCATTTGAATCGAACGTGACAAACACGGCGCACGACTTGTGGGCGTGGTCTTGTCAGTTCTCAGCATTCAGCACAATGTTGCCAAATCTCCAACATTCACTTGATATGTTGTTATGGAGAATAAGAAATATTTGGACATGCTGGTTGCTCGAAAAAGTCAGGAATGAACTATAACATCATGGGTTCCTCCTATTATATTTCATTCAACGACAGAATTCTAACATCTTTTTGATAACTTGATTATAATTGGTGACTTGACAACTTTGCTTAATTTTTTTTATGTTCTGGTTCCCACGAAACAATATCCTGTAATGTTCATAGAACATCGTGAGAACCAAGGTAAATGAGGTAGGAATTGGTGTTCTGCTTAAATTTCTGGAGGTCATATGCCTCGGGGAACACCTCCCTTGCAATGTGTTCCAGAGCCTCGCAGTTCGTTGGAAATGGAAGATTAACTGACCAATAACAAAAAAGGATAAAAACACGTCACCAATCGCCAAATGGCGGCCATGAAGGTTCGTTTGAAATGAGCTATGAAATTCAACAATTTCGAACAACGCATAGACTCATTATTTACATAAAAAAAGCGTGAGAAGTGATGCGAAAATTATTTTAGGTCCCTAACGACACAGTGGAGTAATTGAATGCCAATAATTAATTATCAGTTCACTCGCCCATTGAAGAAATAATGAGAGAAAAAGCTGTGAGAAGGAAAAAATGATAACAGATGTATCGCTCACATGGTAATGCATGGAAATGAGGAAGAGAATTGGAAGTTATGGAAACAGAAATTCCAAAATTATCTATTGGCAACTGAAATCAACAATGAAGATGAAATGGTACAATAATATGCTCAGTTATTACAATTACTTGGTGATGATGCAATTCCGATCTACAATTATTTCCATATGGAAGAAGAAGAACAGAACAAAATCATTATCATTTTTGAAAGATTTGATGAATAGGTATTTCATTCCTCAAAAAAAATGTGGGATTTCGAGATTTTGTGAGTTTGGAGATATTCGAGACCCCCTAACGAAAACTATGTCGGTAATAGCAATCAAAGATAAGGATTTGAAGAAGAGATTGTTACAAGGTAAAAAAGGCATGAGTCTTGATGAAGCTGCTAAGATGTGTATAATTGTTGAGAGTACAAAGAAGCAAACAGAAAAAAAAAAGAAGTGGATATCTCAGAAATATATGAGCAATCAAAAAATTAAATCATCAGCAAAGAAGAGAAGTGAGAAATAAAACTAGTATAATCAAATCAATTAAATCAATCAAATAATGTATCAGGTATGGTAGAGATCATGAAATTAACAGATGTCCTGCATATGGTAAAACTATAAAAGAAATAACCATTTTTCGAATGTTTGTAAATTTAAGAATGATAAATCAGGTAGAAATGTCAATTCAATTCATTCAAATCATGATGGTACATCGGACGATGGAGAATATTCAGTGATTAATATTGTAGATCTAGCTAAAAATGATAATAATTCAGATATATCACATTTGTTACTAGATTCAATTGATTATAATACACGTTTCAATGACTGGACAGTTGATTTAGAACTCAATTTTAATGATAAAAAAATCAATAAAGATTCCTTAGAAAAGGTCGTATCATCTTCAGTAGGTGATTTGAAGATAGCTCATAAGGTCAATGAATATCACTTAAATGTCAGGGGTACTGAACGTCAAAAAGTGAGACCAGCAGCGCAATTGCTTTCAAATGCCATGTCAAAAGCTGTAGAATGGTGTGGAAGGGAAGGGCTTTTGAATAATACAAATTGGATCGAAACGAGTGAATTTTTGAAGTTGTGCAATGACTGGTTTGATGTATTTCATGCTCAGAGTGAGTACGGATGTCATTCAGGAGCAAATCCCTTTGGAGTCGATATTGAAAAACAATTAACAATACTCCACCAGACCAATGATTTCATTTCAAAGATGAGAGTTGGTAAGCACGCAAATTTATTACCCTTTCAAAAAGGCATTCTTCTTAGCAACCACTCTTTGATAGAGATGCATGAATATTTGACAAATAAATATTCTATCGAATATATATTGACTTACAGGCTGAATCAAGACATATTGGAAAATTTGTTTTCATAGTTGCGTGCCATGGGTGCAGCAAATGACCATCCAACTCCTTTATGCAGTGTATGGCAACCCTGCCTTAATGTAAGCGCACATGCGCAGTAAACTAGAATGTAGAACCACGGAAAGGAAGAGCTCTCTCTTCCACGAACTCTGCTACCGACATGACTGGTAAAAATGGTGTCTGACTAAAATGGTATAAAATAAAGAGTGTGAACTGTTATGTATCGTTTAATTATTATAACAGTAAACTCATCTCCCAAGAACATAGCAACTGGCGACGAGGATATAAAAAGTATTGTATAATACTAGATATAAAACGTGACCACGCCGACCTCGTGTAGGAAATAAGATGGCGACGAAAGCAGCACCAAAATTCATGGAATTTTCACCAGAGACCGATGATTGGCAAATATATCTAGAAAGGCTGGAGCAACA